TATATTTCTTTCATGGACTTCCTACCCGCATATTTATCTGTAAGAAAAAAAAATTGTTTTAAACTGTCAAACACCAAGCGGTCACCGGTGACCGCAACCTATTGTTCTATAATTGTGTCTATAATGACGGTACTCGACGAGTTAAAATATGAATGTTTTTAAATGTTATATATATACCGGTATTTTTATATACATAAAAGCAATTACTAGGCTCCTGCCTGCTCGCATGTTTAAGAATTATATAGTAGGTATAATTTATAAATTCTATAGTATAGATATTTCTTATTTGATATAAGAATGAACTCCAGAAGAGTTGCAATCAGGGAATGTAAATATCCTGAGTTTTGGGGCTCAAACGAGATCCGTAAAGTCGCATTTTATAATCTCGCGAGCCCTCGCCAATTTCTAATGAAGACTAGTGTCTTCTCTTAATCTCTTCTAATAGAAAACAAAATCCATTAGTAAACCAATCTCGTTAATTTTGCGAGATCTCGTCCATTATTCAACCAAGATTAATCTTATGAGACATACTAAATTAGTTATTATGTTTTCGGCTTACTCACGTAACTATTTGACGAGGAACTCGATTAGTTTTAAGCCATACTAAAGGCTCATATGCACGCGTCGCGGGTCGCGGAATGCTGCCCATTAATATGAGCCTCTAGCATGGCTTGAAACTAGTCAAGTTCCTCGTCAAGCAGTTACGTGGGTAAGCCGAAAACATAGTAATTAATTCAGATTAATCTCATTAAAAATCGTTTTAGGTTTTAGATGAAAAGAACTTTTCTACAGAAGAATACAAATATAGCAACTCGATTGTTAAACATAGACAAAACTTACCTCGAACGTTTATGTAGAACTTTTGTGCTGCACCCATTGTGAATAACATTAATAGAAAATATAAATAATGAGTAATCTTCATGGCTGGAACTGGAACAGTTAGCACAACCGCTTATGTTGACAAGAACTTGGATAGTAACTTATATTTTAATTGTTGACTCAATATAAATGAGTAATTGCTTATATGATTCACTTATATATGACGTATATATGCGATTTAATGATATAGGAAGGAAGCTTGTATTCATATTACCTCTATATATAAAGGCACCTATAGGCTATGCCTTCGGTACGTGTCACCGAATAACAAGCAACGAAGCCGACGGCGTCCGAGATCGCCGACACGGCGGCACCTATACAGACGCAGTATATAGAAACCATAAAAAAATATTTTCATCTTTATTTCTATACTCAAATATTTATTAAACTTAATATAACATCACGTCTTTTATCCCCGAAGGGGAAGGTGGAGGTGCACACAGAAGTAACACCCACTTTTCACTATTTATGTTACGAGGCTTATGTAATAGGGGGTGAGCCTATTGCCATATACCGGGCACATTTCCAGACTCCGTGCTACTACTGAGATTGTTTTATTAAAAGTCCAGTAATACTTTGCGCGACCTGGGAATCAAACCCGAGACCCCTTGCCCGGCAGTCGCACTTGCGACCACTCGGCCAATGAAACTGATATTTATTAAAATACTAGCTTTTACCCGCGGCTTTGCACGCATCTCAAAAGGATAAAAGGTCTATGTGACATATGCCAATACACACAGCGCCATCTATACCAATAATTTCGTTTTTCCTCGAGAATACCAAATTTTTCCGGGATAAAAAGTACCTTTAGACTTCTAACTTTACGTCTGCAAAAATTCAAAGCAATCGGTTTAGTAGTTACGGCGTGAAAGCGGAACAAACAAACAAAGAAACAAACTCACTTCCCGATTTATAATATTATATAGTGTAAGGATAAGTTAATTTTTAATAACATCTTTAAATCATCAACAGTCGGAAGGTATGTATCTATTGCCGAACTGTAGCCTACGTCTCATTCGACACAACTTGTTAATCCAGTCTTGTTAGTGTAACACGTTTATTGTATGTTTGTTTTTTTATACTTGTGTTTAAACTGTCAAACACCAAGCGGTCACCGGTGACCGCAACCTATTGTTCTATAATTGTGTCTACAAAACCGGTACTCGACGAGTTAAAGAAGCGGTGGATATTGTGTTAAACTGTAGCATTCATTATTATCATCATCATATCTCAGTTACAAGACGTTTATTCACACAGGCCACATGCCTTCCCCAATGTCTTCCAGATAGGCCGGTTGGAAGCGACCCGCATCCAGCGGCTCCTTGCTACCTTATCTATGACTTTAAAATGTCATATCACAACGACACCAAACGTAATCTTCTTCTGTTCTTGTTTTCTCTTCTTATAACGTCTTCTGATTCATTTCGTTGCGGGAACTAAGACAGTTACCCCCCCTTCTCAGTCTACACAATTCCCAAAAGGCCGGTAACGCACTTGTAACGCCTCGGCGTTTCAGGTGTCCATGAACGGCGCTGATTGCTTACCATCAGGTGATCCGTAAGCTCGTTTACCGGCTTATACCATAAAAAAAGTTATCATGTTCCTGAGACGCGCCGGACTTCAGTGTTCTGGTGTTTTCATGGTTGTATCTACTGTAGATCCTGGCTTACAGGAGTTGCAGCAGTTTTGGGAGGTGTATAAAAAAACATCTATGTTTGGAAAAATGTAAGCAAAATAGTTACCGGTTCCAGGATTTTAATCGATCGTATTGTCACTGCGGAGCGACAAAAATCCGTACCGAAGATATTAACTCGTCGAGTACCGGTTTTGTAGACACAAATAAAGAACAATAGGTTGCGATCACCGGTGACCGCTTGGTGTTTGACAGTTTAAAGTCGTTTTACCCTATATTTGTCCGGTTCACACATTGTAGGTACACACGGCCACACATCAATCTATACAAAACCAGTTTATCCTGGTGTCGCGTCGCATCATCCTTCTGCACATCTAACCTTCAGTTTATACTGGTTATGTAAAGCTCGATGTGTAGCCGTATGCACATGCATATTTCATTTCAAGTTACAAATCATTGTTTTCTATGTCTTTTTCTAGCTATTTATTTGTTTATGACTGCCTCGTTGGCCGAGTGGTCGCAAGTGCGACTGCCGGGCAAGGGGTCTCCGGTTCGTTTCCCGGGTTGAGCAAAGTATTACTGGGTTTTTAAAAAGTCTCAGTAGTAGCCCGGAGTCTGGAATTGTGCCCAGTATATGGCAATAGGCTCACCCCCTATTACATAGGACTCATAACATAAATAGTGTAAAGTGGGTGTTACATTGTACAGTGGCATAATGTGCACCTCTGACTACCCGTTTGGGGATAAAAGGTGTGATGTTATTTTATGTATTTTGAGGTTTTTTCGTGTTTTGTTTTAATGTTTTGTTTTAATATTTTGCTGTTATGGCGTTCACTGTGTAATATTACTCTTGGATTTCGTTTTGTTAGGTATATTATTGCCTTTTTTTTTAAGGGGGGAAAATCATCGAATGACTGCTCCCGCCTGGGTGAGGCGGGAGGGAGTGTCAGACTCTTACTGACTGAAAACCACCCCGTTCCTTCTCCTGCACGTCGAGCCGGAGCCCCGGTTACCCTTTAGGTTCTCCGCGACATATTATTGCCTATGGAGCCGCAGAAGGCCTAACGGGTTACCGGGGCTCCGGCTCCGGCATTGCCATGGAAGAAGAGCGTGACGGTTTAATCTAAAATCCTGATGGTTATTTATTTATTTCATGTTATTTTCAGCCGTGGTCGTACATATCGGTGTTTTGTTATAGTCTATAAATTCAAGTTAGTTTTTCCCTCTTCGTTTGTAATCCTAGTTATAAATGGATAATACCATTTGACATATTTCCTAAACTGTTTACGGAAAATCAATGTTTTATTTGCATATGACGTCACGTCTATTATTGCTCTGGTGTTAGACTAAGCAAAAGTCCCGCGTTCAATAAACTATAATGTTATTTTTGGATGTTGGTTTCGTTCATATTATTTTGGTGCTGCCTTTTATCTATAGCAGTCAATATCTAAGAAGTCGTGGTCGCCCGTGAGGTTTAACTCGTCGAGTACCGGTTTTGTAGACACAATTATAGAACAATAGGTTGCGGTCACCGGTGACCGCTTGGTGTTTGACAGTTTAATACGCCCACTGCTCATGCATGAGGGTGCGGATTCGAAACCTATTAACGGCAAGTACCAATGTGACTTTTTCCGAGTTATATGTACTTTCTAAGATTCAGATACCACTGAGAAACGGTGAAGGAAAACATTGTGAGGAAACCTAGGCTTATAAATTTCTAATTATAAGTTTGAAATCACTGAGCATTGAGCAAGCGTGGTGGTTAATGCTCAAACCTTCTCCGTGCGAGGCCTTTGGTCAGCACTGGCCACTTATAGGCCGTTGATGATGATGATGAGTCAATATCTGTGTAGGAGTTTTGATTATCAAATGACTTCTTCCCGCCTTAGGTTGGCGAGAGAGAGTGTCAGACTCTTACTAAATAAAAACCACACCGGTTCTACTCCTACTCTTCGAGCCAGAGCCCCGGCAACCCGCGGCCTTCCGCGGCTTCGTATCGGGCACTAGGTACAGAAATTACCGTTTCCGCGATCATTAAAATTCTTATCTTTATATATATAATTCTGCTGTACGTGTGTATGTCATTGAACTCCTCCTAAACGGCTTGACCGATTCAAATGAATTTTTCTGATTGCGTTTTAGTGGCGCCCCTGGATGGTTTAGATTCACAAATCAGCCCGGCAGATGGCGCTGCAGTCGGTATCTTTGTTATTTATCTATACCTATTATTATTACATTATATCCAGGACAATGTCTGTCGGGTCCGCTGGTACATATATATTTATGTACAAGAACTGCTCGTTTAAAGATTTTGACATGCAAAATAGTACCTATTTTAGGTCATTTAAGGATTTTTTTTAAGGGGGGAATATAACAATAGGTTGCGGTCACCGGTGACCGCAACCTATTGTTCTATAATTGTGTCTATAATGACGGTACTCGACGAGTTAAGGATGGTGACATATGGTCAGACTATGATAAGTCTGACATGGTCTTTCTGTGACTACAAGAACCTAAATCAATCAGGTTAAAGAAATGAAACAATTGACTTTATTATAGTGCCATTTTGTTGCTTTAATTTATAATTTATCTTTTCTTTGTCCCTAGTGTGATGCTGGCATGGCAAACGTTCAACGCTCTCTTCGTGATCCGAGCTGTCAGCAAATATCTAGTTGAAATGGTACCTGAGTATGAGCTCTGCAGACATCTGGACTTCCAGGCTGAACGGAGAGTGGGCAATGGACCTGTTGACTCCAGGGAGGATAACACGGTGAGTTGATCCATTGTGTTATTTTTTGTCAAGGCAATCGTCAAAATCATTAGACCAGGAAGGCACCTTTGAACGTAAAAACAAAATATTAAAACAAAATCCGTCTTTTTTTTATGGGACAAGCCCGCCACAACCTCCCAAAACCGCTGCAACTCCTGTAAGCCAGGATCTACAGTAGATACAAACATGAAAACACCGGAACAAAGAAGTCCGGCGCGTCCCAGGGACATGAGTAACTGTCTTGGTTCCCGCAACGAAGTGAATCAGAAGATAATATAAGAGGAGAAGAAGAAAAAACTATAGTTTTCACTTCCCTCGGTGAATTACTGCAGGAGACAGAATGAATTAAGCCTAAAGGCACAAAGAAGAGACTGTACAACTGGGTGAAGCCCAGTCGCCAAGCACCACGGAAATTTGACTAAAAA